GGAGGGACCTGAGTTTGAATGGAAGACAATTTGCTTAGTTTTTATTTTGTGCCAGCAGTATTGTGGCAAAAGTACTATTACCTTCACTTTGCAGATGAAGAGACTGAGTCTGGGATTTAAAAGCATTTTGTGTCTTTACATCTTTGGTATTTTTTTTAGCAATAAAAACAAAAAAACCAAGAACATTTTAAGTAATCATCAAAATAGTCATCACTTATTAGGGCCACTTTACGTGGATAGTTTTCTTGGTTTACGTTCGTCATTTATTTCTTCTTCATCCTGGCTGTAAAATGCACCTAGCACAGTTCTCATTTTATACAGTAGGAAACTGAGGCAGGATGAGATTAAGTGACTTGTCCAAGGTCTCACATTTGGGACAATTTTAGAATGTCCAATAACGACCCGAAGCAAGTGAATCTTCGCTTTCAATGAAGCCAGTGACTTCAGAAAAGGGAGCGTTTTTTTTTAGTTTGTTGGGTTTTTTAAAAAATTTTAATGGTGTTCACTTGTCCAAAACTCTTGGTTAGAAGAGGCTCGCCTTAGGTTCTTTCCTAGAGGAGCTTTATTAAGGGGGGGCTGCCATGGCAAGAAAATACAGGCTCAGTAAATGAAAAGCCCCATTTGAAAAGACACATTTCTAGCCAGAAAAAGCAAACCAAAAGCATTCTAAGAATGCTACCTGAAGACAGGTCTCCTGGAGGGAGGAGAGCGGGGAGGCTCACCGCTGCTTCAAGCAGGCAAAACAAACAAACAGTCTGCCGGGCCGGGTGGGCCAGGGCCTGGACAGTGTCCGCCTCTCCGACAGCCTGACTGACCCTTCCCTAGAGATTAAAGCAGGGATTAAATCAGACTCCAGCCCTTTCAAAGAAAAATACTCTAGCTCTCGCCTCTCCTCAAAATGACCTTTTCCCTTTTGCTTTCTTTCTTTCTTTTAAGAACAGACTATCAAAAGTTTTGCCCAAGAGGCAGAAAATCCATTTCACTTACAAGGCTCACCGACACCTCCTGGGGACTCTGTGTCCAGCTCCACGCTGGGCCCACAAGGATTTCCCTTTCACTTCGCCTTTTATCCGTCAAGGAACGAGGTCCCTCTGCCTAAACCCAGAGTCCCCATCTGTCAACGACAGTTATTGAGTTTCTGCAACGGCTAAAGCTCACTTCCTAAGATAACACCCAGCTCTTTGCACCCCCAGCTGCTGCACATGGGTCATTTTGTTCAGAAAGTAAAGCCATCCCCTCCTACTGCTGCTCACCCATCAGACCCAGCTTTCCCCCCTTCCCCACAGGGATCTCGGTTAATTCAGGACCAACCATCATCAACATCCCATTTCCTCCAGACATCCAGAGACACACCTTGTTGGCTGGGTCCCTCTGTGTGCGGAGACTGAGGCCAGCCATGTGCTGGGGGCAAGCTCTTCGGTCCTCAGTCATGGTGTCCAGTTAGAGGAAGACCAGCAGGACTCTCAGAGAGGGCCTTACAGTCCCTTGGAGTTATAAGGTAATAAACTTCTCAGTAAAGTTGGACTTTCCCAACTTTATACAATTTTTCAAACTTGAGCTTTGCAAAGTGTTCATATTCTGCCTGCGAGGTGGTAAAAAGCATGTCCTTTTTGGAATAAAACCACCAGGGGCTTAGTTTATGGCCGAGCTTGTTTCAAGCTGTGTGGCCTTGGGTAAGTTACCTAACCTTTCTGAACCTCCATTTCCTCTTTTGTAAAATGAGGATAGTATATGAGCTACCTTCCAGAGTTGTGATAAGGGCTAAATGAACTAACATACAGAGAGTTGTTGGCAAATAGTAGATGTTAGTAAGTTCTAGCTCCTCTCTAAAGTTGGAATTAACTGCTCACAATTCTAATTTTCAGATCTTTGCTTAATTTGATTCACTGCACTCCAGGAGCAATAATGAAACTGGCTTCCTTTGGGTGTACATCAGCTGCAGTGTGCCTACCCGGGAAGATGCCATGCCCACCCTTCTCATGCCCTGTCCTCTCCAGACTGGAAGCTCTCTGACAGCAGGAACTATTCTAGTCACCCCTTTATTTCCCATGGTGCCTGGGACACTGCAGGTGCCGGACAAGGACTCCTACGGGAGGCAGAGGGAGGTGGAAAGGGACAGGGAGAACACCTGTATAAGGTCATAGTGAGGACTGCCAAGAAACTGCCAAGAAATGGAGCTCAGTCCTGCCTGAAATCCCCACAGGCAGCCTTGGAAGCCCCAGGTGCACCAAGTGAACACATCCGAGGCTTCCATTTCGGCCCCCAGGATGTTCCCAGGATGCCGCTGCTGTCACAGTTCGGGGAAGTGTATTAGCCAGTACCTCCCTGCCCCAGGTGTCACCTGAACTCACCTGATTGTTTTCCATTCCAAGCAGGGTCAGAAGGGAGCCCTTCCCGCGAGCATCAAAGTACAAGATGTGCACATCTGTTCTTTCCTCGGGAACACATCGCTGCCCCCTGGGCCCTGTATGTGCCTGTTCACCCTTCAGTTTCAGCCAACGTCCACGGCTCCCTCTTCCATCCCCACCCCCAGGACTTTGCTCGCACCTCACTGGGCTCCAGGTTTCTCCCCCTAAAGCCACACAGAGTGTGTCTGTGTCTCCCACCTCCTCGGGGGTTTGACCTTCTGGGTGTAACAACCAAGCTCACTCATGCCCCACGGAGCCCAGGATAGTTTCTTTGGAGAGCACATCTGACAAAGGGTCAGGCTGCCGGAGACCCTGTGCCCCCGCACACCCCGGGGCCGCCCCAGCTCAAAGAGAAGGCTCAGCTGGGTGCCTTCAAGGTCTCAGACCAAGTTCAGACGGCAGAGTGTGTCTTGAGCCACAAATCGACAACTCCAGGCCTGTTCTCTCCCTCCTCCATGACAAACCAACTTTCCTCTTCCAGATTCATCTCTTTGTCTTAAAATTAAATGCTTAAATAGTCTAATTGGAAGAAGTGACAGAAAGATTTCACTCCCACTTGGAGCTCAGGGTGAAAGTGAAATATACCAAGTCCTGAAGAAACTCCCAGGCAGGTCGGGAATGCAGGTAAGCAAGGCAGTGTAACCGCTGCCTTCGCAGGGATTTAGGCAAGAGGGCAGCTCCTAAGGATACAGGGGAAGGGAGTGGAAGGTCCTCTTAGGTCAGTCTCAGGGTGCCTCCGAGAAGAGCTGAGTCGAGAATGGTGAGTACAGGTTTCCAGCTGAAAAGAAGAAACTGCATTCGGGCAGAAGGGGGGCGATGCACCCACGTGTGATGGGGGACACAGGTCCTTGCAGATACTGGAGCACCGGGGTAGGAGGGCAGCGAGGGCCAGTCTAGACTAAGCCCTGCTAGTGTGGTCATATTTAACCCTGTAGAGCCTGGCAAGGACCTCAAGCAGCCAGGATCAGACTATAGTGAGAGATTAATTAGGCTTTCTAAGGAGAAATATAGAAGAATATTGCAATGTACTGCTACTCAATATACTGCACAGAGACTGGCTCTATGTGGAGGCTGAAGGAGGCGGGAGGTGGGGCTTTAGAAAGAGGAGGAAGTCAGTGGTGTCACCATCCCAATGCAGAAGACAGGGGCCGCGGGGGGTCTGAGGAGCCCCTCCAGCACGGTCTTGCTTGCTGTCTGCTCCCTCACAAGGAGCCCTCCCTCATGCAGAGCCCCGCGTGGTCTGGGATCCACTTGTCTTTGTCCTCTGTCTCCTCTCAGCCTCGCCTGGAGAGCTGACTATGGCAAAGAAGAAAGTGGCCGTGCCTGGAGTCAAAGCTGGAGTTCAAGTCCACGAGAGAGAAAACCCGTCCATGGAGCCCGCCCGGCCTCTCTTCCCCTCCCTTTGCTATCTGCCTCCATTCTGAATCACATCCAAAACACACCTGCGATCCTCAGCCTTTCCAGTCTGTCCCCTTCTACAAGACAGCTTTCCCCCAGAATCCCTGCGGACCTCAGAGCCTCCCAGAAGGTAACCAGCATAGCCCCCACCCAGAGTCTGAACAGAACACCCCAAACTCCAGCTCGGATCTGCGTTGCCACTAGTCCCCGTCCCTTCCTCCTCCAACGTCCCTACAGCAAAACTGAAGAATCTTTCGGCCAACACACAAGTATGGTGACTTATTTCTGATGAGCCCAAAGTTTTGGAAACAAAGCAAATGCCTCTGAGGACCTCCAACCTTCCAAGTTCCTTCTGTAATTCCCCGCAGCATGGTGGACCCTCCTGTAAGAGCGATGGGAATGAGGCTCTGCTGGTGGAGGAGGAGTCAGCCCTGAATATATGATATGGCCATAAACACATTCAGACTGCAGGACGCTCTCCTATAAACTCTTTGACGGTCCCCCTGGCAGGAAACAGCATTCTAATGTAGATTTCTCCGATTTTCCTTGGAGGAACTCATAAACTCCACAGGTGTTGGTGAAGGAAGAAAGGCAGAGCTGAGGGCTTGACTTTTGTCTAATCTGCTGGTCTCTCCAACAGGGACTGTCCTGCCCACAGCCACCACCCAGACATCTGTCCACAGAAGGTCAGGTGGCACTTCCTCTGAGACCATCATTAAGCTCTCTCGAATGGAACCACGGAACAAGCAGCAATGTCCCCACCCCCGGCTGCAGGGAGAACTGAACGGGAGAGAAGCACCTTCAGAATAAAGCCAGGCAAGAATTTCAGGGAAGAAGAAACTATTCAAAAACTTCCCTCCAGAACCCATCAGGCAGGATCCAAAGTGCTGTACATCTTCTTAGCGTATCATTTATAATTAGACTCGCTGCTGCTTTTGTGTCAAACTTGTGCAAAGCTAATTATTTCCCACCCCTTTTTCCAACAGCAAAAATTAGGAAACAAATTCATTAAGTGGATTCACTCAACTTACTGCTCCCCTGGGCTTAAGTGAAAAGGCAAAAAAAAAAAAAAAAAAGCTCTGCATTATTTTGCTTAATCCAGGCCAATGCCATCTTTATAATAAGCAAAATAGCCAGGACCAACCTCTCCAACCCCCAGAGCAGGTGCCACTCCTGAAGTCGAACACACCGTACCTTATGAGAAGCCGGTCATTTCAGGATTTCAGGCAGCCCAGGAATCAACCGGCCAGGAGCAGGCTGAGCCCAGCAGAGGGGGAGCGCTGGCCGGGGCTCCCGCCTCCGGGGCTGTGCCTTTGATCGTGCGGGGAGCCCTTAATGCCCCAGAGAACAGTGCCAACTGCTCGGTCGACCTGACACCCTGGTTCCCCAGCCCCTGCCTGGGGAGGCAGAGGCAGCCAAGCCAGCCAGGGGAAAGGTTTCAAAGGCAGTATCTGCTCCCAGGGCTACAACAACAATCAGGGAAAAAAAAAAAAAAATCCCAGTAGCAGACTTTCCAAGTTGCGCTCCATCTGCCCCAGGCTCCCACTGGGTCAGATGGCAAATGCCACAGTTTTCCGCCTCCTTCGCACTGAAGTATTTTGCTGGGTCAGAGTGCTCTTTATGCAGGTACATACCAGTCTGTCAGTCTAACCACCGGCAGTTAAACCGAGCCTTTTCAAACATGCAAGTTTTGTACTTGGCATGGAACCACGTCCTCTTGCGCAGAAAACAAAGGGTCAGGGAAGAGCACGGGCTTCGCCACGGGGACCGGGCAGCCCGGTGTGTCACCGGAGGGCAGAGCGCACAGGTGGCGCTGACCCAGGGAAGCACGTGCCCCTTCAAATAACCGCCTCCGTGAATAGAAAGGAACACACCCCAGCAAGGAGCACTCCCCTGAGGGTTGCAGAGGCTCATTCTTAACCTTCTTGTAAGTAAGTCATCAAACTTGTCCAGAGCTTCCGACATATTCTGTTGCAAGTAACGCCTGGAAACCCAGGAATCCTGCTCAAGTCCTGACTGAAAAAGGAAAGAAAAGAAATAATGGGAGGCCCCCTCATGTGTGCTAAGTCCCTTTCACTTTGATTTTTATCTTCTTTCCGGGGTCTTCTATTTGCCTGCCAAGATGACTTGGATAGGACCCAGGGGGGTTCCACGTCACCTACCTTTTGTGACAAAGGCCAAAGAGCTAGATCATTCTTGTTGGCGCAATAGTCAACAAAGATTCTTCTTGTTTCAAGGCCCAGTCCCCAAAATGCACCAAGCACTACAGGGTGGGAGAGCCCCGCGTTCTGGACCTGTTCCTTCCCCTGCTGAGTCACAGCTCCCTGGCAAGGACCAGTGGAGACCCCACCTGTCCCCACACCTTCACAGATGGGCAGGGTGGCGCCCCCTGGTGGCTCTGCTTTAGCAAGGCTCTGGGAGTCAAAGTAAAGCCTGGCACTGTGGCTTCACTCATGTGGGCTGTGGGGAGCAAATCGGGTCTGCAAAGGACCCGTGAAGACCGGAGAGGAGGTGACAGTGGGTGCAGTGCCTACTGCCTGCTGCCACTCAGAGCACATCTGGAACGGTGGGAAAGTGGACACCACAGAGATGTCCAACAGGAAAGGAAGGCTTAATCAGCCTCCAATATCCCAGGCAAGGAAGCTATGTGCATCAAGTTTTTAAATGATACAGATATACTTAGGACTTAACAGGCAGCAAGAAAAAGATTTTAAATTGTTATAGAATTACAAACACATGCATATACATATATGTAATATAATGTATATGATACTCTATTATATATAGAGAGAAAACAGCAGAGTTTTTAAGAGGATGGGCTCTGGCCCAGGCTTGGGTTTGAATCCTGATTTACTGGATTAGACTCTGAGCAACTGACTTAACCTTTATGTGCCTCAGTTTCCCAAGTCTGAAAAAGGGGATCAAGTACCTGTTTTTTAGGGTTGGTGTGTGGATTCCATGAATGAATATGCAGAGGCTGCTTAGAACAGGGGATGGTATATATATTATAAATATCCATTATAGTGGCCATGCTAAAAGTAACAATTATTATCATGACTAAGCCTTCAATCTATAAATAAATAAATAAAATGCTTAAAAGAGATTGAAACAAAATGTCTACAGTGGTTGCCTCTGAGTAAAAGAATTCAAGATTTTTTTAAATCCTTCTTTAATCTTTTCTATAATTTGCTAATTTTAAATTGACATAAATTGTCATCATCATGAGGAGAAAATTACAACACCTTTGAACTGTGCTTTCCCATTGCTGTCTACACAAGGTTTTGATGTAAAAATACACTGAGACGCCCAAGAAGGAGAGAGCTCACCCCAGTGTCCACGCTGATGGGTGTTTATGGTGTGAGCCTTCCTTTTGAATTTACATCTGCAAGTCTAACCTCAGTGCCAGGGTATCTCCTTGCCATAAACCCCTCTCTTCTGATCCTTATCAAGCGCCGTCCTCCCCTGGCCAAGTCCCTTCCACCTTACACATGACAAGCATGGACAGAGTCACCATGCCAGCAGCCAACACAAGCATTTGAGACTGTGGCGTGCTGGCTTTATTTTCCTGGTCACCACAAAGGCTAGAAGTGATGACCTTCAAGGAGCAAAAAGTCTCTCCCGGTTCAACAAAGTGTCCTGGAGACCATGATACCCACCATCAACGCATAAACAGGTCTTGGCTTCTGCAAAAAGTTCCCCTGCGAGTTTTTCAGATCACTTTAGACCTGCTTTACTTGTACAAACGGTGGGGGGCTGGTACTGCCTCGGCTGCCGGACGCTGACTGCTCAGACCTCCAGTGCTTTGTGCATGATGTGTATTGTCTCTGCCTGGGAAGCCCTTACCCCTCATTCATGACATGAACTCCTACTCATCCTTCAAAACCTAGTCGAAGCATCTCTTCTGCTGTGTGATGGACCTGACCCCTCTAAAGAGACCTAAGCACTTCTGTTTTTCTTTAGGTTTAATGAACCTCCAGAAGCCGGACTAGAGGACGGACTTATGGCTGATGCAGGTGAAGGACCTACAGGAAGCTGGTTGGCCCTACAGAAACCTAGACTCGGGCCTCTGGCATGTGTTAGGTGGAAACAGGGGACTTCTTTGAAATAATAGATACAGAGTACTTGGCCCCTTCACCACCCACCCCAGGGCCCACGTGGAGCTCCAGGACTCAGGCGTGTGCCCCTGGCAAAACACATCAATTAAATGGAATCAACCAAGGAGAGCTAGGACCACTCACATAGACACAGCCTGGCATTTAGAGGCCTCCAGAACGCCAGCTCATGCTGTCCTGAGCACCCAAATAGCAACACCTGATAGTCCACAAGCTCAACCGACAGACACAAAGTCGACTTCCTCTTTCTTAAACACACATATCCAGTGGTCACCTGGCATCTGAAGAAGGACTGAAGCATGAAAAGAACATCCAGGAGAAAAGATACTACAGCAACCAAAGGGAAAAGCAGGGATACATGAAGAATTAAAAAAAAATAAAAACTCTAATTATTATCCTCTAAGAGATTAGAGGGTCACACTTTCATTCAGCCTGAGAGACTCAAAAATCACAGAGGTGAGCCAGTCCCTCCTTCTGATTTAGACTGAGGGACAGTCTTAGTCCACTCAGGCTGCTGTAACAAAAACACCATAGACGGGTGGCTCAAACAACCCAGATTTGTTTCCCACAGTTCTGGAGGCTAGGAATCCAAGACCAGGGCGCCAGCCGATCTGATCTGATGAGAGCCTGTTTCTTGGCTCATAGACGGGCCATCTTCTCATCGTGTCCTCGAGTGGCAGAAGGGGCTAGGGAGCTCTCTGGGGGCTCTTTTAAAAGAGCTCTAATCCCATCCTGAAGGCTCCACCTTCATGACCTGGTCACCTCCCAAAGGTCCCACCTCCTAATACCATCACATCAGAGGTGAGGTTTCAACATATGAATTTGGGGAGGACACAAACATTCAGTCCCTGGCAGGGACCCTGAGCTAACCAGAGAGCTGAGTGGAAAGGCTATGGTATGGAATTTCGAAATGTAAGAGTTTGTGTATTCTGTTATGTTGTCCCCATATACAGTCAGTTCTGCTGACATTTGTTTTTAAATCACAGATTTGTACCAACAGACTGATATATCACAGAACAACTTGAACACTTTGTGAATTTTGTGTGTCCTTAAGGCGTGCTTTCCTCTGCAAGGAACACTAAGGTGAACGCAGAAAACACGGTGCCCGGCTGACTGAGCTCCTTAGCAATACGCAGAACACACACACTGCACACATCCACCGGCCACCTCCAATCACTGCATGTGTCACGAGCCACGCCCACCCACATCTGGTGTGAGAACTTTCTGCACCTCCCTCCTTTCTCTGCTTCACAGTAACTCACAAGCCACAATGCCAACAATGCCCACTTCCACGTGCAAAACTTCATTTCATTTATCTTGTACTTCTAGGTAAAGTTCCATATTGATTGCAGCATTTATGTATTCTCATGTGCAAAGCTGCATTTCTCTTTTTTAATCAGGCATTTGTCTTTTTTTCTTTCACTGTGTCATTGATGAAGTTTTTGAGCGCGGTGCCTCTGACCCCATTTCCCCACAAGCCCTGTGGTTTTTATTGTGCAATTCTGCATGATGCAGTGATATTTAGGAAGACATCTTGTTATATCAGAACTGAGCATATGATTGTATTTCTGCACGTAAACTATACTTTCAGGAGTTCCTCTGATCCTTGGGGTGCGGGGAGGAACCAAAGAGTATGGCGTGCTGATTCTGGTTTGGAAAATTTGGTCACCATCACTGAACTGCATACCAGTCACTCCAAGCGCATTCTTCCTGGCTACCCCAAAACTTTCATCTCCAGTTTGGCCTTCTCCCTGCAGTGACTGAGCTGGAAACCCCCTCCTGGGATAGGGCCGGTTGTTGGTTTTGTCACTATAAAAGAAATCTGTAGATGATCTGGGTTTTTTCCCCTCCATCAAATACAAAATAAAATCCAAGCATAAGTGATGAAATCTCCATTTGAGGTTTTTGTTTACGGGCAAGCAGCCAAGTCTCAGGGAAGCCAGGGAGCTGAGGTCTGGGTTTCCACCCCGGCCCCTTGCCTGCTGGTTGCTGTGTGACCTTGAACAGCTCCGGAACGCTCTCTGAGCTGGTTTCCTCCCCCATAAACGGAGACAACAAGGCTGACTTCAAAGGGGTTTTGTGAGGTTTTAAATAAGATAGTGTAGTGAAGTCAGCACAGTGGCTGACACTTAAGTGTCTTTCCATTCTTCTTTCTTCTCATTCCTTTTTTTTTTTTCTGAGGACTAGTCAGGCTGATCTCTTTGCTGGTCACAAACCTACTCCCTCACCCATGTCTTACGTTATTTGCCTACATTGAAATCCCCTCCCCTCACTGACTGCTACTCCAATTTGGAGCTTAAAACTTGTAAACATGAATAACTGGGAGGCATAAAACCTCTTAAGTTTTGGGACCGACTCTTTTGGTTCCTACGGCTGGGTTCTCCCCTCTGCCTCTCCCTTCCACGAGCTTGGAGTTATTCATTCACTCACCCAATGTTTTCTAGGTGCCTAATGTTCATACACTGGGTACTTGAACGACGACTCCCCAGAGCCTCAGTTTTCTCAGCAAAATCATATAAGAATACCGAGAGCAGAAGG